GGATTGGTGCAGTGGCTGCAGTGATGCGGACGCTGTACCGGTCTGTTGTGGTGAAGAGAGCTGAGCGTAAAAGCGAAGCTCTCAATTTAAATGGCCTGTATTTACCGGTCGATCTACACCCCTACCCTCACCTATGATCACGAACTGTGGGTAGTGACCGAAAGAACGAGATCGCGAATATAAGCGGCGTAAATTAGCTTCCTCCAAAGGGTGGCTGACCTCTCCCTTAGAGATAGGTTGAGAAATTCGGCCATTCACAAGGGACTCAGAGTAGAGTGGCTGGGGAGAGGGAGGTCTGGGCTTCTCTGCTTGGGCTGCTGCCCCCACGACCCGGCCCCGGATAAGTGGAAGAAAATGGATGGATGGACATTATAAATAACATTTAGAATATTGGGAAGGGATTCATAATGGTGTTCTTTATAATTTCACAATATAGTGAAGTAAGATAGAAACAAGGTTAAGATAAAAATAAAAATAATTACTAACATTTTGACATTTTATAAAGAACTAATTGCATCGTAAATAAACAGTGCAGATTTTATTTAAGAAACTGAGTTATTTTCAGTTTCATGGTTGATGGAGTCTTTAAAAGTTTTGTTCACATTTAGTGGAAGCTAATGCTTTAGAAAATATAGACTTCATTTTTTTTAAAGCAATTTACATTTGTGTACATTTCTTGATAGGTAGAAATCAAATGAGAAGTAAATAATCAATAAGGTCTAATACTATTCTTATATGATCAGAGATATACCAATTCCTCTGTTTGTGTCTCATCAGTTACGAAAGCTAAAGCTACCTTAATTGTATGAGCAAATATTTGGGTAGAAACTTTCTAGTCCTTATTAAGAAGTTAGACAGGACGCCAATCAGGAAAGTGTTTGAGGGCTTCATTTTTATATATTTACATTGTTGTATAGTGGAACAATTTTAAAGTCCTTTGGTCGCATGGAGCTGATTGTTTATGGATGAGAGCGGTTACGGAGATCATTCAAGAAACACTGAGAGCTGTTTTAGTTTTCACCTCTTTTCTTATGACTCACGTTTTGATCGTATAGCTGACGTCACTTAAATGCGACTACCTTAAATTAAGAGAACTGAACGCAAGTTTGAAGTTGAAACAATCGGCTGAAGCTCAAATAATCTTTGTCTTGCTTAAACTTTAAATTGAATCTATCGTAGTTACTTTTTAAAAGTCATAGTCTGTTATTCGCAGAAAATATCATCAGACTAGCACATTTAGAACAAACTTGTCCGATCATCAGAAAGAAGAACACGGAAATGTCTGTAACTGCGTCACTCTGCTCCACTTTGCTGGTTTTTGGCATCTTCGTGTTTGTCTCGGCAGGTGAGGTTAATAAACCAAAATTTTCCCCTCTGAGATAAAAAAAGGAAAAAATGGTATCTTTGTCGTTTACGTGGTGCCAACACTTAACAAATAATTTGTTTCATGTCGATTCCATTTGTTTGTGTCCGTGAACGCATCACGAGGCTGGGTGGGGTCCACTTGTTTTGTCGTAGAGTTAGCATGTTTGCTATCTGTACCACTGTACGGACTGTCCTTCTGACTAAAGTGAGATCTGTGGTTAAAATGATGGCAGTGCACAGATTCTGTGTTTTAATCGGTCTGTGGCGTCTGTTGCTCGTGTTGTTTGTGGTCTGTCAGCCAGCCGGGGAGCAGAGCGAAGGCTAACATACCAAAAGCTCCCGAGTGTTAAAAACAAAGACAAGTATCGCTACAGTCACTGTCTGTGCTTT